ATCAACAATACTCTCCATCACCTGTACCGCGCTTTCTACGCGGCCAGTACCACTCTCCATGCTTTACATTTACAGCTCGTTTAATCTTCACAACAACCTCATGTGGCAGGCGCTGTTATGTCCATTTTACAGATAAGGAAACTGAGATGCACACGTTAAGTAACTTGCACAGGGTCACAGAACTACTGAGTATAAAAACCAGCTTTGAAATCCAAGAGGTCTGGATCCTGAAGTTCTTAACCTTTGTGCTGCCCAGGCCCCCACAGGTCTAAAAACAGCCCTGGGAACCCCCTCTTTAAAGAAGTTAAGACACTGCAGACTTGCCAAGAAACCACTCCTGGCTTTGTAATGACTGGGAAGATAGGAAAAACCAACTCTTCCTTATAAAAAGGTGACATGTCCTTTTGGGGAAAAATTTTTTGAGGTATCATCAACAAAATTACATATATTTAAGGTATATAATTTTTGTTATACATATATATTATTTTTCAGATTCTTTTCCCTTATAGGCTATTACAAGATAAAGAATATGGTTCTCTGTGCTGTACAGTAGGTCTTTGTTGTTTATCTATTTTATATATAGTAGTGTGATATGTTAATCCCAAACTCTTTATTTATCCCTCCTTTATCCTTTGGTAAACGTAGTTTGTTTTCCATGGAAAATAACATGTTTAAATTACAATCTGTTCAACCACTTTCCTAAAGGGTGATTTTCTAGATGATGATAATGATGAATTAGCTGCTTCTCTTCCCATGGAGACACCAAAGAGAGCCTGAAATGCTGTTGATCTTGGCAGCCTTGATGTGCGTGCTTCGTTGCAGGCTTGCGGAGAGCAGAACGCAAAGCAATGCTGCCACCTGCTGTAGAGATGGACGGTATTTTTGTCTTTTTTATCTTTCCTAAACAATGTTAACAGTCAGAGCAACAAGGGAGGGAGGAGATTATCAATCTCCACCAGTCTCCCCCAGTGCTGCGATGGTGCTAAGTTGCAGTCATGGCCAAAGACATAATTTTGTTACTGCATTTCTTCTCACAATTGAACATAAGTCTACTTCAAGGTCTTCTTAATCACAACGTTGATGCCTGGACAATAGACCATCAGTTCCTCTCAACTCTGCTGCTACCACTGCAGTTTTAGGCACTATTATCTCTCACCTGGACCTGGATTGTCTCCAGCTGATCATGCAGCCAATGTTTCTTCCCCTAAACACCCCCTTCTCCAGCGTGATCACTTTAAAAGTAGAGCAGAGCATGCTTCTCCCCTTCATATGATCCCCCAATGGAACCCAGACTCTGTTTCTCTCAGAATAAAACCCACACTCCTACCTTGGCCTTGGCGGCTGGCCGGGATCCAGCTCCTGCCTGCTCTATGATCACTGCCTGGATGGCTCCAGCCATGACCTTCTTTCTTTTGGACACAGCAGACTCCTTCATACCTTGGATCTTTTGCATCTGTCATTTCTTTTACCAAAAAACACCCTGGCCCCAAATCTTTGCATGGCCATCTACTTTTTATTTAAGGCTCAGAATCAATGTCATATCCCCAGAGAGAATTTCTCTGGCCATTCATTTGAAAATATAAAAACCTCAGTCTCTGCCACATAATAAATGCACAGTAAATATTCATTTTCTTCCTTTTCCCAGATAACACAGACTCTGGGTGCTGTTAACACAAACACCCTGGGTAGAGGGAATTATTCTTGGAAGTCCTCACCCGCCCCCAGCTCTGAGGTTGGTACAGAACTGGGAGAAGACATAAACCAGTTAGCTTAGGTTAGTATCGCTGGGAAGGCTGAGTGAATAGGCCTAAGTAGGTGAGCATGGCTTCTGTCAATGTTGGGCTGAGATTCTCAGGACAGGAAGGTCTAGATGGAGCACCAGAGGACCTCGTTTAAGGATCTGGACTAAACTAAGGGGAGGCTGGGGTGGGTGGCCGCCCTCCCCATGCACACCCACGTGTTCACCCTCACCATTACCCACACCCTGGGTCCCTCACTGCCACCACCAATCCACATTTATAAAAATAAACACCTCCAGGTCCACATTACCTCTCTCCTCTCAGGCTAAACATCAGAGAGGGGTATCAGGGCAGAGAGAAATGAGAGAGGAGGACAAGTAGGATGTTTCAAGGCCAGGCTGGAAGTCATGGGCATCACCTCCACTTGAGTTTCACCGGCTTCTCTCACCACATTGGCTCAGCCAGATACCAGAGGCTAGGACCGTGCACCCGTGAAGAGAACAGTGGATATCTGTGGACACTCTACAAGCTGTAAACACATCCTCCCAGTTGGTTTTTTTTTTCAGTGCGCTCATGGTTAATGGGAACCACTGTCCATTAATTTGATGTAATGAAGGTTGTCCACTAGCTACTAAGAAGCCATTTTCTGTTTGATATTGATGGAGAATCTGTCCCCAGAGCCTCCCACCATCCATGGGAGGACAAGGTGCTCTTGTTTGACATTTGTGGCATCCACAATGAGCAGAGCACAGGGAAGGAGCTCAGATCTGAGTAGCTGGAGTCTGGAGTCAAGCCCTTTCCCAAAGGCACCTCTATGCGCCTGGCAACGGTACCCACTCAACAAATGGCCTACAGAATGGCTTCATGCATTTGTTTTTAATGTTGAGACTTATTTAAAGTGAATGGGACCGAGGATGAGAACAAATGCAGTGGGGATAGAGAGGTGGCAGAAGGGGATGCTTCCCAAATGAGCAGTTAGAAGCTTCTCTGCTCCGCCTGGGTGGTGGCAAGAGGGCTGTGTGGCTGGAAGGCTGGTTTGCAGGTCCGTGACTTTGGACACTGGGACTGGTGATATAATGCATCCAGGCAGCCTCGTTGCACCCTACTTCCTCTTCTCGCTGAAAGCAACAGTGTAGATGTGTCCGCGAGGAGTTGGGAACTCCAGTCCTTGCCACTGTGGCTCAGTTGGTTTAATGCTGGCCAGACACCACGTACAGGAAGCCTCAGTCACAAGACTTCTTAAGGTCATTTTCAAAGAGGGACGTGGGAGGGAATTAACATTGTCCAACTGTCAACATCCTTGATGAGCACGCCTCCTCAAAGCAAACATTCAAGGACCTCTATTTTTAAACAACTGGTTTGAAAAGAGGAATCACAGTTCTCTTCCTCACTTCACCAGAAATGAAGCGTGCTGTGACGAGCGATGTCACGGGAGGCAGACTGCAAACACAACTGGAAAACCTCAGCCTAAAATGGACAAAATGACCTTCTCTGCCTCCCCACGCCCAGACGGGCAGCTCTCCTGGCCTCGAGGACTAAGGCTCCAAAAGATAAGCTGAGACTTGAAGCACATTCTGTGCTTTTCTCTGCACTTGGTCAGGCCTCTGCCTGTGCCTCCAAGCTCCTCTTGTCCCCAGGCTGCACCATAGCCTTCATGCTCCTGCCCAGGGCCAGGCCCTCTGCTGGGGACCTCATTTTCATTTCGAATCCTCGTATCAACTACCTATAGTCATTATCTCCCATTTTACAGTTCAGAGTCACACAGGTGGGAGGTGGCAGATCTGGGATTCAATCCGCAGTCCCGGCCTATGATTCCCACTCAAGTCATCACACCACAACGTCTCCAAAGTGGCTCGCCCCTCCCCGCCCCGTGTCCCCTGGTATCACTCCCTACCTGCGGCTGAGAATCACAACTGTAAAGGCCGTGTTACTGGAATTTTCCAAGTGAAGAGTATAAAGGCAGATCTCATCACTGAGATCTCGGCACTGCACCGCCAAGCCTCATGGTGGGCGATGGTCCATGAGCAATATCAGGTCTTCATCTTCCTTCCGGCAGCTGAGGAAGAGTCACAAGGGAAAACCACACGAGGAGTACATCTCACCAAAGAGCAATCTATATCACAACTAGTCACTTCGTCCCAGGGTGCTGCACGTGGGCTGACGCCACTTCTCTGCTCCAACAGGTATCTTATGGGGAAGGAGCCTCTATTACCACGGTGGGAAGGAACCATGTCCCAGTCAGACCTGTAGACTGGTTAACTTAAATTGCCTCATTCTTCCTTAAAATAAAAAAATCAAAAGCATCACTTCCTGGTACCTCCTGTGCACTCATCCTCAACATCAAAGATGTGTCTCTCTCACATGCACACATAGACACACACTCACTGGTACCTTATGAACATGGCAGCCTGAACACAGAGCCCTTCAAGCAATGTATAAGCCCCAGCAACTTCCTCAAATCAATGTAAGGAAACAACGCAAGAAAGTATTCAATGTCATATCACTAATTAAGGTTTGACCAGTACTTACAAGTTAAAGCTGGTTTTTTTCTGTGTTATCTCAAAGACACCATAGAAGAAGCAAGAACTAGGAACATGGGCTTTGGAGGCAGGCAGCATGCACTACCTGTGGGAACCTAAGTTAAGTTATTTCTCCTTGCTAAGCCTCAGTGTCCTTACCTGTAAAATGGAGATACTGACATGAACCTCGCAGACCTGTTATAGGGAATATTGACATTCCTCTCAGACCTTGGATTCCTAACAGGGAATGTAAGCTAAAGGTCAGAATGAAACACTGTCTTAAATTTGGTCTTATTTATCTTATCCCACATGCCTAAATTTGTACTTAAAAGAGACCCAGCTTAAATAACGAATGGAGGCACAGCTTCTGGCAGAAGCACCTGCGATGGGAAAACAATTGACAGACGAGAAGACACCAGATGGACAGGAGACACTCATTTCTTGCATGCGCTTAATACTACCCCACTGAATCACACACACACACACACACACACGGGACTGGATGGGGTGAGGGTACAACCTGGACCACTGATTGCCTGTCTGTGCTGTTTGACTAGTTCACTCTGAGTAGGTTTACCTAGGGCACAAGAATCCCCGGCATATGACACCACGTTCCAGACTGAAGATGCTGTGGAGAAGGAACCCAGCCCCACAGCCCTTTCTTAAGTAGGAGAAAGTACATAGGAGGTAGAAGAAAAAAAATAGATTCACATGTTTCAAGAAGGCATATAAATACAAGAAATGTTAGGCAAAAGAAATTCATAAAGTTTTAGTGATTCACCCAACCTTGTTGGTAGAATGTCTATGATTTTAATGTCACTGCTGGAATCACATTGTTCGTTAACAGCTTTTTCCCACAGCTTATTTAAGTCATCAAATACCTTATGTTCAACTTTATATCTATGAGACAAACTCCTAAAGGGCAGGATAAAGTTCTGCTCACCCAGGCATCCCCTGACTTTGTGGAATAGAGCAGACAAGTAAGGTCTGATTTGTGCCATCTGAAAGAGCGCCATCTAGAGGCAACTACTTCAAACGGCACCTTCAAGCACTGCTGAGCAACTCACACCCAGCTTGACACAGAGTAGTAACACGCAGCCTCCACACAAACCCGGGAATGAGTAAAATCTGTTAAGACTGATACAATTACAAAATGGCATTTAAGTTAGGGGGAAAAGCCCGAGCAAACGGATTTTTGGTTGCATTTCTGTTCGTTGAAAGTACAAATCCCTTTCACAAAACAAGTTTACAGAAAGACGAACTGAGTAATTCATCTTGTCAGTTACAATTCATACAAAATAGGCTCCACCATTCACTAAATACAACGATTCAAATACAATTTCAGAAGTATCAAAAAAACTTTAAAAAACCTGTAGCAGCAAAAACATTGAACATTTGTAAACAGAACCACCAGTAACAACCCTATGCTAAATACCAAAGAATCTTCCTTCTTTTAAAATATTAAATATACATAATAAAGAGAATATTGGCCATCTTTTTTCTTAATAGACAATACTCAATAATAAAACCATGCTATCAATAGTATACACAGACGATGTGGTCATAAGGCGTGTGAACAGTCTTTCTCACAATACTCAGGGCATCATGTCGCTGCGGAGGGCAAACTTTCCGAAAGCCTTCTCCTCGCTCTGATCCTCGCACACCGGGGGCACTCGGAGGACCGGAAGCACTGCTTGTGAAAGCAAGCTCTGCACGCTGCAAGCAAAGAGGTCAGCCGTCAGCAAACGGTGTCTGGTTTCTCAAATATGTACAGATGCTCATCCCCATCCTGGGGAGAGAGGGGGTCTGAAGCCTGCTACCAGAGTCTTCCAAAGGGAATTCAGGCAGGTGAAACTCAGAAGGATTATAAGCAGGTCATGAGGACCAATAAAACACGACGCTCAGAGAGCCTTTCGTAGTGGATGCCGCAGCGCCTCCCGGATCCACCCAAAAACTGTCCTCCCAGGTGCTGAGAGTGTTGGGGGTTGATGGCTCAGGAGGTGGCGTCCCTTCTCTGGAAATGGCCCTGATTAGAGAGAGCTGCTTTGATTAAGGTCATGCCCCCTTCCTGGCACCAGCTCACATCCAATGACTGGTCTATAGAAAGTTTAAAGGCCTGGTTGGTTCTCTGTCCCCAGTTTGGGACAACACTGAAAGGCCACTCCAGCTCCAGACTTCCCCATGAGATGCACTGTACCTTCACTGCAACCGCATCTCAGTTCAACCCCTCCCTCTGCCCAACCCTGCTGCCTTCATACCCCAGCAGGTGCTGAGCCTAAGAACTCGCCCCAGTGAACTTTCTTCATGCAAATCTCTGCTTCAGAGTTTCTCTGCTGGGAACCCATCCTGCGACACCGCCTAATGGGTTAGGGGAGATAATGCCGGAGAGGCCTAAGAGGGGGGCCTGCTCATACTAAGGGTGAAGAAAGAACTCATTAGCCAGATCTCTCCCATGAAACATTTTAGAGAGCAAGGGATTTCCTTGGGCACTTATCCAGGCAGACCTCAGAGACACTGCAGGTTTGATTCCCTGCTATCATAACAAAGCGAGTATTGCACTAAAGTAAGTCACACAAATTTTGGGGTTTCCCAGTGCAAATAAAAGTTATGTTCACACTACACTGTAGCTTATTAAGTGTGCAATAACATTGTCTTAAAAATGTACATACTTTAATTGAAAAATACTTTATTGCTAAAAAATGCTAACCATCATCTGAGCCTTCAGCGAAATCTTTTTGCAATAGAAATAGTAAAGATCACTGATCACAGATCACCACGACAAATACAATGATAATGAAAAAGTTTTAAATGTGGTGAGAATTACCCAGGTGTGACACAGACACACGGTGAGCAAACATTGTTGGAAAAATGGCACTAAGAGACTTGCTCACCGCGGGGTTGCCACAAACCTTCAATTTGTAAAAAACACAGTATCTGTGAAGCTCAATAAAGCAACGCAAAATATAACAAGGCTTGCCTGTATAGCAGAACAGGGGTTTGCAAATCTCTTCTGTAAAGGGCCAGATGATAAATGCTTTCGGCCTTGAGGGCCATACAATCTCCATAACAACTACTCGACTCTGCTATCAGAGGGCCTGACACAAAAGACGACCCTTCAGGGTCAGGCGTGACTGTAATTCAGTTACAAAAACAGGGGCGGCTGCAGCTTGCCCTGATGCAGAAATGAAGTGCAGGCAAAACAGGGGCTACTTCGTCTCTCTGAACCCTGTTCCGAGAGACATCATCCTTTAAATCTGCCCTACTCCTCTCTGTGCACCCCAAACCTTACCACCTCCAATTCCACATACAAGCATGCACCAGCATCATATTTTGAAGAAATAACACCGTGCTTTAGTTATTAAGCTGCTTTAACCTTAAGTTAATTTTGTGCTTAAGTCATCAAACTCAAGTTAACTCTGCACTGAAGTTATTAAGTTATTATGAAGGTCACGGTGTTAAGGTACCTGAGCATCTTCTACATGTCGCGGTCTGAAATGGGAAGATGACAGCTGTGCTCCGGCAGAATTCACAAATGAAGCCCTTTCCTTGACACAGCTGTGAAAACAAGAGTCAAAAAGTTGGAGTCGTTACTGGTAATGTTTCTTCTGCTGGAGGAGCTGAGTTACCACTTTTACTGAACTTTATAAATACCAACTTTTAAATGTCTATGATCCTAGCCTGTAGGAGGAACAGGATATGATATATCCCGCCACGATGAACAGTCCGACTGGGACAATAAATGTGCGTTTGTTTTGGCCTGGAGAAACTGCACATTAAGCCAGTGTGAGGCACCAGAGAAAGAGCATGACTTTAAACATGTGTTTTTAAACGGTCGAATTCTGTTTCTGGCAGCTCCCCTGCAGTTCTTTAGCCTGTGAAGGCAGAGCTCGGGTTCCACTGCATTCTGAGTCCACTTGGCTGTATGTGACACATCAGCGGATGGGAGTCGAGGGAGGCCCCATGTAGGGCTTGGCGCCCAGACTATAAGTTGCTTGGCCCAGGCTCCTCCCAGTAGGATACTCTTGGTTTGGTACTTAACACCTCTGAGCCTCATTTTTCTTGTCTGTAAATAGCGTTGGCAGCACATCCCTCAAGGTTTGTGAGGGTTAAATGACATAAAGTGCTGAACAGCCAGCAAAGGCCACAGAAAGGACCGCTCAGGGATGCCCCGCCCTGGCAGGCAAACCTCACCTCACAGCCAGCCACGTGCGCAAGGGAAACTTTCAGGATATCCTTGAGCAAGGGCGCCAGCAGCCCTTTCTTGACCCTGACCAGGTCCTCCAGGGAGAACAGGTGGAGTTCATCAGTCAAATGTCCAGGCACCTGCTCAAACTCCTGTAACGTACTGCCCGAGAGAAAACAAAGAGGAAGTCAAGAGCCCACCCACACAGGCCAGGTCAGAAGAAGGGGGATGCCTTTTCCAGGCACTCACACTTAAATTTTTAACTCAATTAAAAAAAAATAGCCCCAGGAACAAGTTAACCTTACTCCCCACTCTGCATTTTGCAAGTTTGCTTGGAATCCAGGAAGTTAAAGTTCCAAAAATGCTGATTTCAGAAAGCTGAACGAGAAGAGAGAAGTGTTTCTTGCAGCCTGTCCACGCACACACAGTGAGCAAAAGAAAATTGAAAATTTGTTTTCAAGTCCTAAAGATGGGTACTGAGATAAAAATTACCATCTTATTCATTCCAGCTAAATTTCAAGCCCATCAGTGTCACTGACTGATGTCTCAGGAGAGTTACTGTGACTCCCAAATCCACTGGTCGGGTCCAACACTGAGATTAAGATTCAGGTATTCAACTGCAGGCTGGTCACAGCACTTGGATGTCCCAAGGGCATTCAAAGCTGAATGTAATCTTCCCTAAACCTTCCTGATTGCCTCCCGAATTCCCTAAATCCATTAGCGGCATCCCCCGCTTGGGACTGCATTCCCAAACCAGCCACTGTCTGCACTGGCCTTTACATTCCAGTGATGCCAAACCACGTTTAATTCTGACTCACACTGCTTCCCCTCTGCTGAAGGAGCCCTGACCCCTGGGCTCGGCTCTGACTGGCTCTCCAGGAAGCCTCGTCTGCTCGCTTCCCCACCTCATCCCTTATGAACTACGTGATGCCTCCTGAGCACCCTCAGGGCACGTGCACTGTGACTGACACATACTCTGGCAATGATCTCTTTGTGCTGACTTTCTCCCTAGACTCCTCCTTAACATGTGTTCTGTTGATTTTTTTATCTGACATTCAGAATGGAGATTTAAGAAATTTTCATAGATGGTAAGAATTGGAGATACTGTTATACGTTATGGAGAAAACTGAGGTCCTGAGAAGAAATTCACCTTTTACGCCAAGGCTGAGGTTGAGGTGGAGCTCAAGGTCAAATGACTACAGAAGACAAGCTCCTCCCCAAGAAATGTAATTCAAAAGCAATGCAGCATCATTAAACAAAGATCAGAAACAAAGCTTTAAAACAGACCAAAAAATTTTAAAAACCTATGATCGCAACTCTTATAACAAAAATGTTAACTCCTTGAGTAATCTACTTTTCTTCCACTTAAAAATCTCTGTCTCTGTCAATGAATTCATGTCTGACCTTTATGGCTGCAGAAGTTCATTGTAAGGAAATACACCTATGTATGTGGTTAGAGATTCAGCTAAAGCCTAGTGGGTTTTTTTTGTAATAACAAAAGATATTAAAAACCTATTAAGCGTTCAGTAATGGGACAATACTCATTACCACATCATAGTATGGAATATTATACAGCCAATAAAAGTCTGAAATGCCTCTAAATGAGGGGTTTTAAAAGGCCATTGGTTCCCCCATGAGCATAGCAGCACTAGTCACAATAACCAAAAGAAAGCAACCCAAGATGGATGGACGGATGGATGGATAAAAGGTGGAATATCCACACAGTGGAATCTCATTCAGCCTTAACAAGGAAGGAAATCCTAACACAGGCTACAAGATGGGTGAAGCCAGAAAACATTATGCTACGTGAAATAAGTCAGTCACTAAACAAGTACTGTGTGATTCCACTCATATGAGGTACTTAGAATAATCAAAATCACAGAGACAGTGAATAGAATGGTGGTTCCCACGTGCTGGGGGAAGGGAGAATGGGGAGTTGTTTAATGGGTACAGAGTTTCAGTTTTATAAGATGAAAAGAGTTCTGTGGATGGAGGGCGATGATGGTTGTACCACAGTATGAATGTACTTAACCCCTTAACTGTACACATTAAAAAGGGTTAGGATGGTAAATTTTATGTTATGTGTACTTGACCACAATTTAAAATAATAATAATAATAATAATAACAACAACCACCACCACCACCACCACCACCACCACTGGCTAGAGTTGTTTCACCCTTGTACTGGCCCAGTCTCCTTAATATATTAAATTCACTGCTAGTGAGGTGGAAGGTTTAGCAACATTAAAGAGAGGGTCTGCATTCCTAAGGAGAGACAAGAGGTAACTGCTGAGCTCAGAGGTTGGAGGAGCTGGACCAGGAGGTGCAGAGGATTAGCAAATGCATGGAAGTTATCAAGCCCCAACTTCACAGGCCCACTCCGCCCCAGCCCCAGCAGTAGTACCTTTCAGCAAACCTGCAGGTCTTCAACAGCTTCTTGACATGGAATAGCTGCTCCTGGAGTTCCTAACGTGAAAAACCAAACAGGGGGGAAGGTAAATGTGATAAACAACACTGGCAATGTCGAAGTCAAAACTAAGTGTTATTTCTAACCTCGAAATGCTACAACTCTATACAATAAGCCTTTGAAATAAACAGTCTGCAGAGCAGGGGCTCATGACTGAGTCCAGAGAGCTACCGAGGGCCCAGGCGGGACTCAGGTTTTTGGGGAGCCTGAAGCTTACATAATGGGGGGGGGCGTCTTTAAGAAAAACACCAAACTATGTATAAAAGAAGGAGATGCTGTGATTTGAGACAACATGGATGAACCTGGAGGACATCGTGCTAAGTGAGATAAGCCAGACGCAGAAAGACCAAAACTGCATATCTCACATGTGGAATCTGGAAGAGTCGAGTATGTAAAAGCAGAGAGTGGAAGGGTGGCTCCTGGAGCTGGGGTAGGGGGCGGGGGGAGATGTTGGTCGATGGTGCACAGCTGTGGTCATGCAGGGTGACCAGGTCTAGAGATCGAATGGACAGCATGACGACTGTAATTTCCGAGACTATTAAACACTGGAAATTTGCTGAGAGTAAATTTCAGGAGTTGTCACCACACATACACACAAGGTAACTGCGGGAGGAGGTGGGTATGTTAACCAGCTTGGCTAGCAATCATGTCACTGTTAGTATGTATAACACCAAATAGCCATGCTGTGCACTTTAAACATATACAACATCAATTTAAAAGATAATAAAATTCAAAAGCTATGTATAAATGACAGCTAGGCATACATGTAAGATTCAGTATGGGGCCCAAGCAGGGGAGGGCCTCTGCAGCATAAGCTCCATGCACTGGAGGGTAAACCCGCCCCTCAGAGGGTCTGTCTGGATCCCCGAGCCAGGGGAGATGCCCATTTACAGGACCCTCTGAGCAGCTGGCCTCCCTTTCCCCAAAAAGGCAGCTGCTCACCCTCACTCTGTCCAGCTCCTTGGCCTTCGTATAGAGGCTGTGGCTGCTGTTCCACAGGTTGAAAATGGGCTGGTGCCAGATGCTGTCCAGCAGCCGTTTGGAGAAGTTGCTGACGTAGCATTTCCTGAAGTCCCACAGCTTGAGGACCCGGGCAGGGAGGCAGGACTCCTCGTACGAGTGGCAGCAGTCACAGAAGTACCTGCCCAGGTATTCGCAGTACCGGAGCCGCTTCACAAACCCTGTGGGGCACGCAGGAGGCTGAGCATCGCTCCCCGGATGCTGGGAATCCGCCCCGCCTGCGCCCCCCCCAATCCCACCAAGGTCAGGACTCAGGCTGCTCTTTTCCTGCTGAGGAAGCCCTGCTGGGGAAGCTCTGGCAGGGGCCAAAATCACGGCCATGCGTGAGCTCTGCTTTCCTGGAACAGATGTTGGAAAAGAGAAACCCCTCGCCAAACACTCCGGGCTTCAGAAGATGGGCGCTGTAAACAGCTGTGTGGCCAAAAGACCATGAGATTCAGGCTCTGGAGATGTGACGGGAGTCCGGACCCGCCTCTCACTGGCAGGAAGCCTCTTACTAGCTGGAATCTCCTCAGGCTGACTGTCCTGAGGCCACACAAAACAACTCAGAACTGGATCCTGTGATATCACGCAGATGAAGAGTGCTTTGGAAATGATAATGCACTCTATGCACATGGTTAGGAAGTAGCGCCAAAAGGGTTCCTGGATAAATCAGTGAGGGAAAAAAATGCACAAAGGATGGGAATACATGGAAAGATGAGGCACAAATAACCAGTATAGAGATGTGAAAAACACTCAGTCTTAGTAACAAAGACATGCGTATTACATGAGTGAAATACTTGGCTTTGCCTCAGACTGTCACAAGCTTAGAAGCTACCTCAAAATGAGAGTTAAAACCATCCTAAGAACTACAGGAAGTTCACAGGGAAAGTCCAAAATCATTCACATGGTTGATAATGCGTCAGCCCCGTGTGCTCTGCCTACCTCTGCAGCATGTTTTCGCCTCTTATTCTCACCCTCCAGTCACACAGGCCTTCTTTGCAATCGCCTTGGGCCATTTGCCTATGGTGACCCCCCTCCCCCACACACTCCTCGGGGGACAGTCATTTCCTTATGAAGCCTTTCACTCCCAGGCCCCCCAAACCCAGATGAAGTTCCCTGGCTGTAAACCCCACAGCACTCTTGACTTTCTCTTTCATTGCAGGCATCATCCTGTTATTCACTTGACTGGTAACTTCCTGTCAGCAAGCTCCATGAGAGAAGGGACCATCCTATTATCAACAGGGCAGGCATATGACTCCACATTTGAACAAACTCCAACAAGTACTTTAAAAGCTGTTGGAGTCATAGTCATGAGTTCATAGTTTCTGATTCATGCGTCCAATATTGACTGAGGCCCCAGGATACAGTGGTTAACCAGAGACATGGCCCCGACTAGCCTAGCTGGGAAGATGAGTCACTCAAAGAAAATCATTTCCAACTGGGATGCCCAGCAGGGGCCATCAGTCAACATGGGAGAAGGAAGTTCAGATGGATTTCTGCTATTTTTATTTATTGAGGTGGAGATGCCCAAAGTCTTTTTCCTTCCAAGAATGCCAAGGGAATCCTTTCCAGTGAAGCTCCTCTTCGCAGCCTTCCACCAGTCAGACCGATGGACACCCTCATAGCAGAACAAGTGAGTCCCAATCTCAAGTGGGCAACTCGCTTTTCTGATGGGTGAGACCTGATTTTCTAGGCCCTCGGACCACTCCCTGAAACCCTCCCAGAGGAGTCTGGCGAGCTCCTGGTAAGTTATTCATTCAGCAAACATCTTTTGAGTCCCAACTGTGTGCCAGGAGCTCTTGTAAGAGCAAGAGACAAAGCAATGAGTTAAACAGACCATATAATCTGTCCTCAGAGAACTGAGAATCTAGCGAGACAGACGGGCAATAATGAGAAAAATCAGTAAAACAGGAGAGAGTGTTTTAGGAAGATAAGCACTAGAATAAACAGTAAGAAGGCAGGGGAATTTAACGTGCACACGTGTGTCTGTGGCCAGGAGGGTGGCAAGATGGACAGTTTCAGCAGGGAGACCAAGGAAGGGCTCCGAGTGAAGATGGGGAGGCAGGAAGGGAAGCAGTCAGAGGACATCGGGGGAGGGCATCCCAGGGAGCGCAAACCACAAATGCAAAGTCAGGAGTGAGCCTGCCGCCTTCAAGGACCAGCAGTGAGGCCATGTGGCTGGAGCTAAGTGCCCAAGGTGGAGAGAACTAGGAGATAAGAGCCCGGGAGGTAACGGGTGGTCACCCAGCCTTGGAGGTCACAGTGGCCTCTTCACTCACGAGAGGGCCGTGTCACGAAGCGCCTGTGACAACGTCTCATCCAAGGCATTTCTCACAAAAACTGTGCACCGCCCAACTCAGTTACTCTCGTCATCGCACAGTACGCAGGCCACCCACTGTCCGTACTTACTAGGTTCTATCAGAGTTCCGCAGCCGGCGCAGAGGAAGTTCTGGGCTGCTACCACGAGGTCCCTCCTGAGGGCAGAGAATGAGAAGAGCTACATTTCAGAAAAGGCCAAGGGAGCATTTTTCACTGGTTGGAAAAGAAACTGAGCTCATGATACTTTTCTTGGCTTTGGGACCTTAATTCTGTCATTTTCCATTTGGGAAAGAAACAGAATTATTCCAGTTTTTTCTAGTTGGCAACTCCGGGCCTTTTAAAAGCCCCTGCTACCATGAAAGCTGAAGTCAGGATCTCAAGTAACTATTCCACCAAGGGGGTCTTTGCAGACTTCTCGCAGGGCACCCACAGGGTTCTCTCCAGAGAGAACTAGACGCACGTAATGTGTGGGAGAAGGTGCAGGGGACAAGACACCAAGAGACGACGTACTTGGGAAGTTTACAAATAGAGTCAAGGGAATTTAGATGAATGAGAGGTAATACATGACAACGCTATCAAACATTTCTGGTGAATCTAATAAAACTGAAAAATGAAAAAAAGTTTCAAAAAATATAAAAAGAAAGGATGATAGAAAAAAAAATTTCTGGTGAGAGTCTATGGAAGTGCTTTCTGTTGAATTATTGGTGCCATGATTTCCCATGTGATTTGGAAATATGGAGAACATTGTAAAATTTAATGACAGTTTAGGGTCAGCAAAAATGGCCAAGGTAAAAATATGTGGAACCCTAGCCATGTGCCTTAGAGAGGACCCAGGGAAATCCTAGAGGAATGACACCCCATATTGAGGAAGGTGACCCGCTACAAGGCCTGGAGACCAGGCTCTTCTGCCCAAGCAGCGCCAGAGACCTCCCTGGCGCTCCCTCAAAGGAAAAAATGAAAGGGAAGCCAGTCTGCAAGGCACCTCCAAGGGGCACAGGCAATATCCCTCCTCAATCCCTCCATAACTCTGCAGTCTGCACACCGAATTCAATATCAACCAAGAGGAAAGGAAAATTGTATTTGGTTAAAATGTTTCTTTGTCTACAATGTCATATACTCTCAGAAGAAATAAATTAAACCACTACTTTAAATTATTATATATATTATATTATTATATATTATATTATATATCGGTATATTTTAATATAATTTATACATTTATATAATTTATAATATATTATTTATATATACATTTAATATATTTCATATATTTTATGTATATAATATATATTTATATTTTATATATTATATATTTATATTTTATATAACTACATTTATATTTAATTTATAATATATTTATATACATTTAGAAGATTTATATATAACATATAATACATTTATTTCCCTTTTTTGCACCATCTTAGTTGTTTTGTCTTTTAGGATTTTGTTAATTCTTAGAAAACAAAGATATTTTTACAGGGGGAGGGCATAGCTCAGTGATAAGAGTGCATGCTTACCATGCATGAGGTCCTGGGTTCAATCCCCAGTACCTCCATTAAATAAATACATGAATAAATGAATAAATAAATACCTAACTTATTTATTAATAATAAGAAATAAATAAATACCTCCCCCCTTAAAAATTTTTAAAACATTTAATTTGTATTCTGTTACATTTCTTAACTATAGGAGCTCTCTTCAAGATTAGAGTTTTCCTTTTAAAAAATTTTATTCATTGACTTTTACTTCACCTTACATTGGAAAATAGAGCAGTCTGGTCTTCTAAAATTACTGTATGTAATTTTTAAGGTTCAACTTTAGCTGCTTAAGATAAACCTATTTCATTTTCAATTGTTATGTAATGTTATATAATGTTCAAAATTAAGGACACGTAGCTGAATTTTCAACTTATCATAACTTACAGAGGCCCAAAGCCTGTGATAAAAGAGATGTCAAGAAAGCTAATTCAGAAAAATATGCCCAACTTTCTTTTTCCTAAAAGAAATGTTCTTTTGCTCCTCGGTGCATTATTTTTTGCCTTCACCTATTTCCACAAAGAGGTGGGATCTATCACAACTGGTTTTAACTGGATTGGAGCTCGAGCAGCAACCCCGACTTACTTGAGTGGTGGATGAACATTAAATATGATTTGAAACCTCGGGGGCGCCCAGTCTTCAGTCCCTCTGATCCTCGACTTCAATTTAATTTCCTCCACTATATCCATGCTGGATTCAAAGTCTTTCCCGAGATGCTCCTCATCCACAACCTGCATACATAACACAGAGGAGGATTTAGGAGCAACTCAAGCAAGCTGATTCAGGAACCCAAATAAGAAAGAAGCTTCCGGTGTGTTTCCACCACTAAAATTTACCTTGAAAATCGAAAACTACTTTCAGCTGAAAAAAAGGAAACAGCAAGCACTCTCCTGGTATCTAAAGCCATCTGCAGAATTGCTTAAAACACCACCCAGCTGAGATCACTTTGCTTAGTATTTTTCGTTAGTTCATTTGTCTCCAGGCTTCAGGTTACCATGAGGAGGTCAGTGTGACCTGGGAAGCCTCTACACACAGCGGAAGCCTCACCCGGCCTAGGCTGACAATGCTGCCCATCAGAATCCCCTGTTACAGGCAGACTTCCCCAGAAACAGCCCTCTTCAGACACTGCCCTGCTTAGACACGTACAGAAGCTCCCCTCCAAACCATTAAACTTCTTTATTAGCATTTAAAATCCAAACTCTGCAAATAAGCATCTACGTCCTCTACAGTTTGGCTGCTTTTGAATCTCATTTCCCTGAGAAGATTAAGATTAACACCCTCCCCACCTGACACACAGATACACACAAACACTCCTTATCCAACCACAGCAAATCACTCCGCTCAGGAACCACACCACGCACCTCCTGTCACTTTGACTCCAGCTGTCCTTTGCCAAGAGCGCCCTTTCACGCGTCCCTACCTGCTGCAGTTCTGCCTGGCCTGACACTTAGCTCAAGTTCTGAGCTCTGCAGTCAGCCTTTCCAAGATCCCCTGATGAAATGAAACACTGCCTCCCTGCACTTCCAGAGTGCTTTTCACCAGCCCCGATTTCAGCCTCTGCCACACAGCCCTCTGCCCCTGCTGGGCCACCTGCTCAGAGGGCAGTGTGTTCCACAAGGGAACCAGCCCGGATTTTCAGAGGAGGCAACCTGGGGCTTGACTCCTGCCCTTACTACTGACCAGCTCTGCTGAGGGTCTGGAACTAACGCTTTAAAATTAAAATAACAACAGCATCTACCTAACAGCAGATTTCCGAGGACTGAAAGTGAATTGCTGAGCACGGTTCCTGGTGCATCACAAACACTCCATAAACACAAGCAACACCCTTCATTTCCCGTCTCCCCGATACCCAGCGACCACACAAGGAAACACACGGATGTCTGATGTGAACAGTGGGCAAAATGGGAATTCAGCAACTTTCAATTCCAGGTCAACTCGGACTGATACTTACTACTGAGCCGGCCGCATTCAGGGAGGCTGCCAGCGGATGGTTAACTCCTGAGGACACCCAGCACTTCCGGAATTCTCCGTAGAGCTCTTTGGCGAGTAGCTCAGCAGAATTGAAGTTTGGCTCATAAACAACACTGAAATATAAGAGACGCAAAGAATGGAAAACTGTATTTATGAGACGTGTGCTAAGGGTCTTCTGCTTCCGGTTTTCAACTATCCCTCCCTCTCCAAAAACCAGGGAGGGTGTGATACAAGAGATTGCATCAACCACCCACAACAGTTCTCTTAAGCAACACAATTCCGCAGGTTCTACAGAGTGGTTTGTGTCTATTGAGGGCACCAAGGCGGGGAAGGGTGGTGGAATGAGCACCGCAGTCAGAAGACCTGAGTTCAAGTCCCACCCCTGCTATTTAACAGCACAGTGCCCTGAGGCGCATCCTGTCTGAATCTCAGTTTCAAAATCCATAAAATGAGGTTTAAAAAAAACCCCATCCAGCTTATCCCTGAGGATTAAATGGGAATGTGTACAAAAGAGTTTTAAATACTCTAAACACACTGTGGGAAATTTAGTGGTGATGGTGTCATTTCTAAGCAGTAAACCCTGTTATTGGAACAAGGTGACTTTGGCTTGAGGTGTCTGAGGCCCATTGTCCCCAGCGCCTCAGATGTGACGGCCTGGGGGTCTATGTGCAGGTGCGCATGGAAGAGAGATACCTCTTAGAGGAGCCGCAGGAACATCCACAAGTCTCTGTGATGTCGCTAAACTCTCCAAGCTCTGTGGGAAAATCAAAGAAAGGGTAGTGAGGTCTTTTAGTCTGTTTCACTTAAAGTCAGTTTTATAAGAACACAAAGATAGCTCCCTGCATCTCAGAAAGGACCAATTATTCAGTATCTCCACAGTGTACGTTCTTTTGTGTTTCTATCAGGAGACTCCAGCTAATGATTAAAGATGGGATGGAATTGGGTTTGAAAATGTGCCCATCTGAAAATGTCACCAAATACAATTAAGGGGCCAGATATCAGACCATAATGACTATCTGCTTTTACATTCAGTTCTACAAGTGAGATGAGAGATTAATATCAAGACATCTTTTTTTTAGATCAGGTTCATGATCTTGGGAGGAGCTCCTCTGAAAGCCACTATGACGGCGTATTGCCTGGGATGCATGTCAGTGTGTGTAGGTGGCGGGGAGGGGAGACACCTAGTCACAGGAGAGGAGTTTCTAAATCTTACCTACGATAACGAATTCATCCAAGTCACCTTTGCAGTCCTCCTGCATCACATCATAGGAAATAGATGTTTCAGCCACTGGGCTGACCTGTAACACAGCACAACCTAGAGAGAGAAAAGAAGGGAGTTTCATCAACAGGGAGAAAAAGAACCACCACTCAACCTGCAACACCCAACTGAACTGAAATTGGGGAATGAAAGGGCCAAGAGTTTAAAAGAATTTAAAAATTCATCTGCATGAATGAACAAACTCAGAGAGCTATTTTTGTGTTGTTCTTACATTCATGTGATTAAATGAAACAGACAGCTGAGTATATGGGATTCAGAGGAGCAATCTGCCTACTTTTACATCAGTTTGAAATTTTCCGTAACACAAAATTTAACAAAATGAAAGCGGGGTAAAAAATAGTCCTTTTTTTTCACAGTGAGGCAAAGGGTATAGGTGACACAAACATTGTGCTGGGTTGACTGTGTCCCCCCAGAACCTGTGAATGTGACCATATTTGGAAATAGAGTCATTGCAGATGTAGTCAGGATGAGGTCACACTGAATCAGGGTGAGCCCTAAATCCAATATGACTGGTGTCATAAAAAGAGGGAGACGCAGACACAGACAGAGATATACAGAGAGAGCACGGTGTGGAGCTGAGGGCAGAGACGGGGGGGGGGGTGCGCCTACAAGCCACGGAACATCGAGGATCACCAGCAACCACCAGAAGCCAAGAGATGCAGAGAACAGACTCTCCCTTAGAGCCTCCCGAAGGAACCAGCACTTCCCACAACTTGGCTTCACAAAGGAGCTACTTGCAGTCCATTTAAAATGTGAAGATATTGAAAGCTACCTAAATGCCAAATAATAGGGAACTGATTTTGCAAATCATGCTGTTACCTCAGGAAATAATATCATCGAAAAATGCGAAAACTGTAGCAACACAGAAAAACCAGATAGGAAACACTGTTAACATAATCTGATCATATTATTGATGTAATGACATTAATATGAATGTATTATTACTATGAAAATGTACCCACTTGAATAAACATAGGAGAGAAACACAGAGAAACGAATTGTTGTTTAGGGAACGACTGTAGCCTGGAGATGACAGAGAGGTTACATGAATGGGCTTCCTAAAGGACTGGCCAGGGTTTGAAACCACACTGCTCCATCTTCACTGGGGGACAATGAGCTTCTCAGTTTTGGTCTCCTCATGGGTTAAAGGGGACAATTTCACCCACCTCTGTGTTTTTCCCACATCTTTTGATCAGGGTGGGCTGTAATATACAGTCCACATCGCAACCTAGTACAGGAGCAAAAATTCATTTAACTGATAAAGTTCCAGGAAGCGCTGCTCACCCTGAGTGAGGTGCGTGTTGATATTGTCTAGTTTTTTTTTTTTCAGATGCTCTAATGACCAACCTGTAATTTGTAGAAAGCTGACCTACCTCATGGAGTGACATCTCTGACCATAAATGTCACAATAGAGATACTTGATAAAAGAGAAATATTTTTCTTGGGTGGTAGAAATATTTTAAAATTTCATTTAACATATTCATATTAAAAATTTTTTTTCTCAGCTAAATGTGAGCTTCCAATCAGTCATTCAACAAATATTTATAAAATACCTATTTCAGGCAAGCCACTATATTGAATGCAAATATAAATAAGACAAATCCTCATTCATGCAAGATCTCATGAGGTGGCTGAGACACCAACATACTTAACCACAAGGAAACACAGGTGTGCACCACGAGCCTTCAGTATTTCAGGGGCGGGGGAGCCACGCACATAGACAGAGCATCGTGGAGCACAGCTTACATTTCACATCACATGAATAGTACCCTGTTCCCTGTCCAGAAACAGGATGGAGCACGGGCACAAGGAGGAAGAAAGAGTCAACGGCAGAGTACAGTGTACAGAAATATGAATCCCTTCTTTCCCACCCACGTGCCTCTTCTCCCCATGGGTGGCCTCAGAGGGGATGATGGCCCATGTCACATTCCCGGGCTCCCCAGCCACCAGTGGCTGAGCAGCTGTGGACACCCAGTCAAAGCAGGCCCAATCAGGTCCACTTCCGGGGTCCTGCAAGACAAGGTTGAGCTGTGAGACCCTGGCTGAGCCATCAGGAGGACTGCAGAGCCGAAACCAGATGCCTGGGGCAGGGGTGGGCAGAAGTCAGGCTGCAGAAAAAGGAGAAGGAAGCAGCTGCAGGAACAGAAGTGATGAGAAGCCACAAATCCCCCAAAAGACAGATGCGGGAGCTGCCTCTCTACTGGTCAGTTGTGTACTGGTCCCCACTGGGCTCAATGAGGATGCTTGCTGTCATTTAAAAAAAATTCCTTTAAATTTGAGCAAGGTTGCACATTCAGTAACTATTGATCATACACCTACTTTGTACCAGGCACTGGGGTACATATACATTGTACCACGTGGAGTGAGTGCTTCCTTCATTACTGAAAGATTCCTAATTAAGATGCTAAGTAAAGGCAGTCCCAAGGAAAAGTAAGCTTTAGTTTTTAATCTTTTTTTTTTGAAGGAGGGGGGTTGTGAAGGAGTGATAGATGACTAGTTTAGAGATGTTTAAGTTAGTTAGTTATCTGCCAACCAGGTAAACATGTTCAACAGGTCCCAGCCATGTGAATCGAGCATTTAGAAGAAAGATGCTGGACAAATTCAGGAGACGTCCATGCAGAGGGAATAATAGAAAGGTACTGCAGTGGGTAAAATCTCCCAGGCAGTGACTATGGAGAGAGAATCTAGGACTGAAGCAGGACCCATGCTTGGGATTGGGAAGAAAATGGCAAGCCCTAACCTCAGTTCTCAGCTTAGGTCCCCTTCACTCTGGGAAGGCTCCCCGGATCCCAGAGTGAAGTGAGCTGCCCTGACCCCATAACCTGCCACGCTGGACAGCTGCCTCTGTTGGCTCCGTGCTGCCACATCCCTTCCTCAGTCTCTGCTCCAGCAGGACAGCTCCTGGGCCGAAGGAGCACACCCGAGGCCTGCTGACCCCCAGCCCACTGGGATGAATGAAAGAGGACCACGTGGAAAAAGGAAGCATGTGGAAGGCGAGCCAGGGGAGTGCTGTGTGACAGAGGACGGAGGAAGAGGGGCGACATCAGCCTCTGCCAAAAGGAAAAGGAGGATGGAGCCCAAGAGAGAAGCACATCAGTTCAACAACTGAGTGGAGCATGATGACCAACAGTCAAGCCCAAATGGCAGAAACGGCGAGGCCTGTGGCGGCCGCTGCAGAGGAGATGTGCGTGCAGGATGCAGCATAGGGCTTTCTCAGCTGTGCTCCACTTGCCTTCATAGCCACTGTCCGACGAAGTGGAAGACCCAGATTCCTGCTTCATGTTGGTATAAAAGGTCACTTCAGGGTCTACTTGATCGTTCCCAAGTGACCGGCCGGCCTCTCCCGTACTCCAGCTCTCTGCGTGCAGCTGACTCAGAATATCACACTTCATTTTCTCCATGATTGATATAATCATATCGGCAACATAAAAGTGGGCATTTTCCTGTAAAAAAAAATCTGTTAAAAGACAAGCATAATCAACATTTTTCACCAAGGGTGTATTAGATTGAAAAATCAATAAAATGTATTTAAGTGGACTTCATGCATAGAAATATAAATGTATTTAACTGAGTTATTATAGGTCATCACATGAAGTGTAGCCCCTATCTTTCAGAGACAGAAGATTGAACCCACTGTAACCGAGAGATGACCTGAATCTATTTTCTTGTGATATAGAGCCCTAGACTGGTGGTGCTCCAATGGTAGACATCATTCTTCAGTCATGGGAAACTTCCCAGCTGAGTACAGACACTACCGATCAAATGCTGAAAGGAAACTTATCTGCCATGCTTTGTCCAGGGAAGTTTCCAGATTGAAATCAGAACAGCATTAGCCAAGGGATTACCACTCTTGGTGGTTTTAAAGAGAGAAAAGAAGATACGTTCACCTTTTCAACATCGACAGGGAGCACGAATGCCTCTGGGGAGAAGGAATTCAAAGGGACGTTTCTTCCGCTGACGTGAACAGCACCTGCCAATACAGCAAAGTTGTGAACAGTGGAGAAAAAGAAGTTCAAAGATTATCGAAGAAAATAAAGCAATTCATGGGAGTGGCTTTTAAATATCATTTTTTAAAATTAGCACAATTCTAGAATAAATTAGGACGACAAGAGAAGAAAGACCCTCCTGATGGTTGGCCTTGCAGGTGGGAAAGGGTTGGCACTAGTACAAGAGTAACCTGGGAGGACTCCTGAGAGGAGGCAGCGGCAAGCACTGGGAGGGAGGAGACCAACGAGGCAAAGTGGGTAGGAAGATAAGAGGATCATGGAGGGTGAGAACAAACAATCTAGAAGCAGGGCCATGAGATTATTGAATCACTCCCCCAGCTCACTGTGATTGACCCCAAACTTCCTGTTTACAGAAACAAAATCTATCTGAAAAAGGCCAGCACTGCTTCTCCAAAATGATCTTCCTCCAGCCAAAAACAAGAAGCTACTGAAGAGGGTGTACTTGGCTGACTCATCCATTCTGCACCTCGAAGCCGCTCGATTACTGGCAGTGAACACCACCAAGGCAAAATGACGTCTGTCACGGGATGCCTTATTGCGGCATGGAAGGCAAGACATTTCTGTGAGATCCCTAAGTGCTGCTGTCCCAGCCTAATGAGTCAGAACGAACTGCTGCTGGTGTCTTAATGGTTTTAAAGGTCTCAGGGTGGCAGACAGAGAGGCAGCAGGATCCCTCACACCCCCTGCCTCGTCCTCAGGACCCCACTGTTCTGTTTGGACCTCTCAGCTTCAGAAGCCGTCTGGGGTGGGCAAACTTTTTCTGAAAAGGACTAGGTAGTAAATATCGTAGGGTCTGAGGGTCTGTTGCAATGAGTTGGTTCTGCCACTGTTCTGAGAAAGCAGCTGTAGACAAAACAAACACAGCTTTATCTGTAAAATCAGGAGTCTGGCTGGATTTGGCTGCAGGTCGCAGTTTCAGGACCCTGAGGATAGGGGAAAAAGCACAGAGAAGAACCAGACAGTGGATTCCAGCTCTAGCTCTCGGTGCACTGGCTGCACCTCTGCAGTAAAATTTCCTCATCCCTGAAACTGGGATAATTTATCTTGTGAGGAAACTGAAGGTGATAAGGAACGTGAAAGCACTCTGTAAACGTGCAGATCCTAAGCGAACAAAAGGAGCTGTGGAATTGGTTCTTGCAGCCTCAGGAGATGCTGACAGACTCAGGTGTCTGTCTAACTCATGCCATCGAGGAAAGGAAAACCCTGCTGTTGTCACTTGAGATACAACACTTCCAGGAGAATCCTGGGTCCTAGTGGCAAATGCCTGACCTCCCCATCGCTGCCCCACACCAAAGAAAGAACCAGATCACTCAGGATTTCTTCTTAATCCCATAGAATGAATCCCCTTAGCAAGTCTAAGAGACACTCTCAAACAACAGAGTGATTTTTAAAGGTACTTTGCTGGGAGTCTCTGTTTTTGGTCAAAGGGGCTGGGGTACCTGTTTTCTTTCCGGGAGAAAGGCAAAGCTACAAGATAATTTTAAATTGCAGAACCACTTCCGGTACAGGAAAAAAAGAAATGATTTGGCACAGGGGTACACTAGGTGCTAAGGATCATCCTTGGTCACTTTATAACTTGTGGTAGTGGTGGTCTGTGGGTGAGAGGGCTTCCCTTTTCTCTGTGTCTTCCTCACTCTCCCTGGGAGACAATCTAGTAGGAGAGAATAATCTCTCACTTTGTAACCACTAAATTTAAAAATTACTCTTTTCCTGAGAACTATCCGTGCAGGTGAGCTAAAAGATAGAAAAAAGTCCTGTAATCAGACTGTCATCTTGCTTAAATTTGGTTCTTATCTCAAAATTAGCCCATTGAAAGATTGTCCAAAATCGGGTGTTCTTAAACTACAAATAATGTTAAGGATTGTCACCATCCTTGACTTTTCAAGTTTCCAATGGAAAAAATAAACCCCCTATTTTAGGAAAGGGGGAGGACTAGTTCCTGTAAGTGAGAAATACACACACACACACACACACACGTTTTCAGGCAGCTTTTAAAATTGTTTCAAAAGGAAAAAAAATTTCGCTGACCCTTTGAACTAGGATTCCAACAAAAACATAAATCGATACAAAGCGTGCTACAACATAATGGATACTTAAAAATAAACGAAGTGTGCCATAAATGATAACAGTAAGAGCTAATTTGTTGACTCAATAGCCTTTGGCATGGATTATCTCATAGAACTTTGAGTACTTTAGGAATATGTGCGTTACCTCGTAGCAATGGGAACCCTGGTTTTAGTTTAATTTTGTCCAGTGTCTGGAAGAATTGTGTTTTTAAATCTTACTATTTTTCTAGTCATACACTGTCCAGGTAAACCTAACAGGGGAGGCGAGTTCCTCTCTGACGTCAGCACGGCTGTGAAATGCAGCCCACCCCGTCTGGACCACCTTCTACCAGCACCTGAATGCAGACACCTCCAGTGCTCTCCCTGGCACACAGCTTAATGAGCTGCAAGTTGCGGAGGGCACACACTTGCCCCAAGATGCCAGGTGACACTCATTCTCAATCAAGTGGAGCTAACATGACATTTCCCTGCAGTCCATGGAGGACAGGAAGCCTTCCAGGTGGCCTGGCCGGAGACAGTATTAACTGAGCTAATGCCCTGCCTTGAGGTCAAGGCGGAAACCTGTGACCTTTGTTCTCATGAGGAAACTTGGCTTTGGACTCATACAAAGCAAGCGTGAGAACAGACAGGAGAGGAGGGAGGGAAGTCCCTACTAGAGTTACCTTCATCAGCGGGAGCTGTCAGGTGGGAAGGCTTGAAAAAAGCACTGTCGGCCTCAGGACCTGGGGAAGCGGCCAAAATCTTGGGGCTTGTGAACAGAGATGTCCGAGGACCGCGTCCTGGGAGCACTGCCCGCTCTCCCGCTGAGGTAAGAGAGAAGTCCCTGCTCTTCTCTCCTGAGCCCTGGGCAGAGCAGCTGCCCGTGGAGTCCGCAGTGCCCTTCAGCAGTGATGTCTCCACCAGGGAGTCCCCTGCAGACAACAGTGAAGGGCCCCGGGGAGAGGCGGCGTCCCCCACAACGTGGCTCTCACTGTCTCCCACCGCTAGCACCTGGCCGGGCAGATCCTGCAGCTGCACACACGGGGGGTTAATCCAGGCAGCCCTGTGCCTCGTGAACCTGATGTCTGATTGGCAAGAGGCGTGGTCAGTGTCCAGGAGGCTGGGCGAACCATCAGTGTCACCAGGGTCATCGCTGACCCCTTCCCAGGGGTCCTCTGGAGAGTCCCGGCAGCCCGCAAACTGTGATACCATCTTCTAGGCTCGGGGCTGGTGTGAATCCTGCTGTCCTACTGGATTCGGACCTTGAACTCACCACGTGACAGGGTGGAGGGCTGGGAAGTTTACCTGCAGGGAGCAAGAATCATTCAAGATAAACAAGGGCTCAATCATATTTTTAACTCGAAATTCCTTTGAGGAAGCAAAGAAACAAGAAATAAAAGTTTGTACCCAGCCCTGTACTACACAGTAAATCCCACTTGGATTTAAAAGTAAAAAATTAATAAATGAACCAGCCATAAAACTTGCAGCAAACTTAAGGGATATGACATTGGTATAGGAAAGAGGTTTCAAAGCATAAAAATAATTATTTTCATACAATGATAAAGTTGTATAAGAATACTGCTGATAAAAAACAGGTAAAAATGTAAAACATCCATGCATCATTCCAGTAAAATTAAACGTCAAACCCAAAATGGGAATACCATCTGGAAGTCAAGACGCATTTTCATAGTTTCTTATTTTTATTCAGTTTGTGTTTGTATTTCAATAAAGTAGACAGGTGGCATGTAAAACTGAGAACAACAAAAATGCGAAAAAATTTGTTTTGTATAAATTTACATGAGCTTATAATACTTACTTATAATAGTAATATAAGTCAATGCTTAGCTTATACTGTCTAAAGAACACACTATGAATCTAGACTCTGTCTTTAAAATGGTCCGCTCACTTTTAAGCTCAGTTTTTAGCTTTAGTAAGTTAGGTAATGATTGAAAGGTTGAGAGCTGCACAAAGAAGAAGCACTCTCATCACTGCACCTACAGGCTCGGCATGTGTGTCTTTCTAATGTCCTCCCAGTGTCCTTCACATTGTAAAGCTTAAAGCAACCTTTAACAGCCAAAGCCAGGTCAGCAAGGGGCGGGCCCAGAGGTTGAGGCAGTCCCTTTGGCATTCAGCCTAGAGGAAGGGTGGGGTCCGCAGGCTCACAGCAGGGAGCCTGACTCTGGTTCTCACAAAGTTCAGAGGCTAAGATCATCATTATGTATACAGGCAGCTCCTGCATGGATCTATTTCTGACCTCCCGTGACCTCCTGGCGAGCAGACCTTACTGTTTGACATTTGTCTGGGGAGGCGGGGTATCACAGCCTGATATATCCAAAACATACACTGACTTTTCCCCCCAGACCTACTCCTTCCTGGTTTCCCCATCTCAGGGGACATACTTCCCAGTTGCTGAGGCTCCAAACCTAAGAGTCATCGCTGATCCCACCTTCCCCAGCTCCCCCTCGTTACCCATCCGCAAGCCTCTATCTAGAGCCGCCACCTGAGCCTAAGTCACCATCTTCTCCCACCTAGACCTCTGGCCATCTTCCCAATGGTCTCTCTGCTTCTGCTCTTATCCATTTATTATCAAGTTAGTCAGAGACATCTTTTATAGACCTAAATCAGATGTCATTCTTCTAATCCACTCCCAGCCTCGCCATCATAGCTTCCCATCAAATCTGGATAAAATCCAAAATCCTTACCTTGTCCTTAAGGCGTGACACGATCCTGTCCTGCAGACCTCTCTCGTGGGTCCACTTTCCCTAAGTCCCGACCACACAGCAAGCTCCTGGGTCCTACAAGCTCCTGCCCACCCTATCGGCCCTGTTCTCAGCCCTCCGCCTGGAACGCTCTTCCCCCAAATGACCGCACGTCTGGCTCCTTCCCGTTTTATGCACGCCTGGGTTTATGAATTACTTCCTCAAAGAAGTCTTTCCTAACTACCTCTCTTAAAGTAGTTCCCTGGTTACTCCTTATCACATCACCTTGCTTCATTTTCATCACACTAGCTCTCACTTCCTGATATATATAAGCCCTCTGGCAGCTTACATTCTGGGGGAGGGGAGGTAGTGCCTAAACACACATTCAGACATTTTGGGTGCTGGCAGGCAATGAGTAACATGAACCTGAGAAGTGCTAGCTAGGCATCTTCTCAAGCCCTTCCCACCATCATAAATGAGCTCCTCTCAATAAGAGATGCTTAGTTGCAAAAATAAAATCAATTTCTAAACACATTTTAAAGGAAGAGAAATCCAGCTACAAAAATTACCGTCATTTCTATTGAGACTATCCTATTGAGGGTAAGCACAGGCCAGACTACTAGTTAACATACGTGCAGCAGCAAAGGCCCAAGACAACGCAGGGACTCCAGGACTCCCCCCACCCCCATTCATTCTGGAAGGTCCCTGCCCAGCGCGGTCACTGGTCCCATTGCGAATGACTGCACCATCAGGGCCACTGCAGAGCCACAGTGTCTTTGCACCTGGCAAACGCAATCTTTACAGGAGGGGCGGATGGATGATCAGCTGGGCATGAGCCACCACGACCTCCGTAGCGACCTCACGAAAGTCTTGCAGACCATAAGCAGCCAGCACTCTGACAGTAGATGAACAGCTTTAGCTCCGAATACCCCTAACAGTCTTGAAGATACTCCATGAACAGGCACAAGCGTGTCAAGTTTAGGATTTATGACTTTCTCTGCCTCAGCACTACCGAGTACTAGAAGACATATCAGGGAACATCAGAGAAAAGACTCACCTTTAATGTCACTGTCTTAGTGACACGCCCCCTGCTCACCCGGTAAAAACAGCTCCCCAACAGTTCTTCTCCCCTCCCCAAGTCTAGTTTTTCCTCCTTACTCCTTAGCTCTATCTAGTCCCCATTTTATTTATCCTCAATGACTAATACTCATTAGAATGTAAAATCTCTGAGAGCAATTTTTTAAAAATTTATTCTGATCACTGCTCTGTCCCCAGTATCTAGATGGGGCACATAATAGGTGCTCAATAAATATATTCTTTGATTGTATGAATGAAAGAATGAACAAACTAGCCAATAGTGCCTAAGCATGGTTAGGCTGATTATTTCTGTTGTCCAGGAAAGGAAGTCAAGATTAGACATCATCTTGTAGATGACATTGGAGATCATGACCTAGAATGTCTGCCAACCATTTCCTTGGAATAAAGAATGTTAGAGAATAGAAATCACAAGAGTTGAGGGTAAAGGGCAAATTCATTTCTCTCAATTTTATGGTGTCTTACTGAGCATGCCCAGTAAGAGACAAAAGCAAGCAGTGCGTGAAATGGTCCATAACCATAGCGTGTGGGCTGTTTGGTTAACACAGTTCCCCAGAACCTCTTTCCATCTTTCTGTCTCTACTTCCCCTCATGTTTTGACTTTAATCAAAGGTCACATTCCCCCAAGGATGTCTACAGAGTTAAGCTATCACATGTCACACAGAAACCATTAAGACGCCCAATAATGCAACTCCATAGCTTCCACGACAGTGGCCAGGAATTGGAGTAAACTGCAGTTTTCAGACAGCTGCACATCTCCGCTGCAGCATGTGCTGAACACCGTGTTCTCACACCAAAAGCACTAGGAAGGAAACCGTGCCACATTGCGATGGTGGCTGGTGGCGTCACATGGCTCCTCTCTGACCAATTTAACCTTTGGCAATGACCCTTAATTTTGAAGGTCTGTTGTCGAGAACACAGAGGAAGGACAGAAAGCAGGGTGGGGTGAGAAGAGGAAGACCCAACCAGGGCAAAGATCAAGGAACACCAGATATTTGCCTAAGGAAACTGTAAGGTTGCCCAAGATGCACAGATGACTAACTTCCTGTGGTCACTGCTTATGTCACACTTACTACTCTCACTCTGCATAATGATAACTTCCGATATTTCAGGTGTTATGAGGCCAATTTGGCAACTGAAATGAAGACCGTGAGGGGATTTGCCCCAAGTCTCACCATTAGTAATCAGCAGAAGTTCAACAAAAACAAAAGCGCAGCACCTGATCCAAACCTCCTTCCCCTGGTATTTACATGTTCCACTTGGGCTAAAATTAGCAGGATATTTCCAATTTCATTAGCAAACTAATTTTAAGAATTTCCCCTTCAATTTGTCACAAAATGTGGGATTAAGAACTACTCAGCTATATATATTCGATTCCATGCCCTTTGAACAGTTGTCCCCAGAATTTTATGATTACAATTTCCTATTTGTGAAAAAAAAAATCTTTGCACGTACATCTCTAATATAGGACTATTTATTTATAAACCTTACATATGCACAGCTATTCTAATACATTATGTAATTATAAAGCATAATTGAAAATAGCATTTTGTTCTTATTTTCCAAGGAGTCATCCCGTTCCACTTTGCGGACCACTGCTCATGTCATGTTCTACTTTAAAAAAAATGTTTTAAAAAATACATTAAAAAACCAATAACAAACCAAAAAAGATAACTAAATAAGACTTAGAAAAAATATTAATACAAAAATTTACCCAAAGTAAGGGCAGGTACCTGTACTTGAAAGATGGCTAGATTTCCATATTTGGGCAAAATAAAATGGGGAGCCATATGAGAAAACATTCTGGCAGTTCCTCAAATGGTTTGACATCCAGTTACCATTTGAACAAACAATTCCACTCCTGGCTATAAACCCAAGAGAAATGAAAGTGTATGTTACCGTGAAATCTTGTACGTGAATATTTTTTAAACTGCGATATAACTGACATAGAGCACTGTATAAAGTGCGCAGCATAATGATTTGATTTACATACATCACGAAGTGATTAGCACAATAGGTTTACTGCATCGTCTCATATAGGTACAAAATTAGAGAAAAAAGTTTTTTCTTGTGATGAGAACTCAGGATTTACTCTTAACAACTTTCACAGATAACATACAGCAGTGTTAACTGTATTCATCATGTTGCACCTCACATCCCTAGCACTTATTTATCTTTTAACTAGAAGTTTGTGCCTTTTGACTGCCTTTATCCAATTCCCCCTCCCCTAATTTCCCACCCCCCACCTCTGATAACCACAAATCTGATCTCTTTTTCTATGAGTTTGCTTGGTTTTTTTGGAAGTATAATTGACCTACAACACCACATTAGTTCCTGTTACACTACACAGTGATTGGCTATTTCTATCCATGCACAGATGTTCATGGCGGTGTTATTCGTAACAGCTAAGAAGTGGAAGCAACCCAAATGTCCATCAACTGAGGAGCGCTCAAGCCAAGTGTGCTATGGCCATACAGTGGAATGTTATCCAGCCACAGTGAGAAGTGAAGCACTAACACATGCCACAATGTGGATGAGCCCTGACAACATCATACTAAGTGAAAGAAGCCAGGGACAAAAGACATTTCACCTCCATTTATTTATGGATTATCCAGAACAGGCAAAGCCACAGGGACAGAAAGAAGATTAGGAGTTGCTTTGGGGGATGGGAAGATGGGGGTGAGAGCTAAAAGGTCCAGGTGGTATCTTTTTTTGAGGCTGTAATTGTTCTCAAACCAACTGCGGTAGTGCCAGTGCCTGTCTGCAAATATACTGAAGCCACGGGATTGTGCACTTTAAATGGGTGACTTGTACGGTGTGTGAATTCCATCTCAATCTCAATAACGCTGTCGAAAAAAACAAAATGGGACAAGTATCCGACTCCCTTCGGAAGGTCTGGGGAGACTAGAGAGCCCTGGTATTTCATGGGCTACAGGGATCTAAAGAGCAAAGCTGTCAGTCGGCTGTGAACAAAGGCACTGAAAGTTAAAAGCATCAACAGAGAGCAGATAAAGGGCGTACTGAATAAATGGGCCCAAAGTAGGTACGGAGAAGGGAGAGAGTAAGTGGAGGTGAAGATGCCACGACTGAACTATCGAGAAAAAGAACAAACCCCAAGGGCCAGCAAAGACAGCATCACCAGCGAGATGGCTGAGTAACTGGGCACCACTTGCCAGACCCCACACTGCGGGCCGCAGGCGTTCACCTGTATCTGGACACAAGTATTGCAAGGGAGGGTCTGCTAGGCCTGATTTACAGATGGGAAACACAGTCAGGTTAAGCATCGTGGTCATGTTTGGTTAAGTGCCTACCTTTTAGAAATATATACAGAAGGATTTAGAAATAATTGATAGAATTTGTTGAATTTGCTTTAAAATGATACAGTGGGAAGTGCCAGTGGGGGATGTGGACGAAACACAACTGGCCAGGCTGACCGTTGCTGAAGGTGGGAGAAGGGGACGTGTCCTGTTCTCTCTACTTGTACGTTTGAAATTTTCCAAAAGAGAATGCCCAAGTTAAAAACAACAACCTTCAGCATTTGCTTTGTCTGTCAGGGTGTCCCTCAGTTACCTCTCTGACCTCCTTACCCACCGCCTCTGCACCCCTACACCCTCCTCTACTTCTCTACCCACCCCCACATTTACTCAAATTTACCTCCGGATGGAGGCTTTCCCCATTATCCTTTTTAAAACTGCATCCCTGCAGGTTTCCACTATCCCCATTTACTGCTCTATTTTTTCCTGTAGCACTCATCTTCTGGTATCTTACCCATCATCATCAGTTCATTACCAACACTTACATGGCATCTACTGTGTGCCTGACACTGTTCTAAGCTCTCTACACACACACACACACACACAAACACACACTCCATCCTCCTAACACCCTATGAGGTACATATAACAGCACTATTTTTATTTTACAGGTGAGAAACGAGGCACCATGGGTCAGCGGAGCGTTTCACACCCAGGCACTGTTGCTTCCAGGTCGACTTTCTTACCCACAACAGCACAGAGGGGAAGGGAAGACCCTTAAATCTCACTGTTCAAACGTCTCTCCAGGACATCAAAATTCACCAAGCATGAAAGGGCTGCTGTGAGCCCGGCAAGGTCAGTAACACTGACATGCTTACCTCCCTCAGCCCAAACCTCCATAGAGACCAAAGTAAAGTAAGGGTGAGAAACCAGAAGAGAAAAAAAAAGCTTTTATATAGGTCATTGGACAGTTCAAATGCCTTGACAATTGAATCATATTGTTTAAAATACCCAAACAATAAACATATATAGAAGTTCAATTTTCCTCACCTATTAGATTTAAAGTGGGCATCCTAGGTTTCTCAAAAAACTAAAAATAGACCTACCATATGACCCAGCAATTCCATTCCTAGGTATATATCCAAAAACAACAAAAGCACTAATTTAAAAAGACACATGCACCCCAATGTTCATAGCAGCACTATTTACAACAGCCAAGACATGGAAGCAACCCAAATGCCCACCAACAGATGAACAGATAAAGATGTGGTATGTATGTGTGTACACACATACACACTGAAATATTACCCAGTCATGAAAAAGAATAAAATCTTGCCATTTGCAGGAACATGGACAGGCTTGGAGGACATTATGCTAAGTGAATTAAGTCAGACAAAGATAAACACTGTATGATATTGCTTATATGTGGAATCTAAAAAGTACAACAAATTAGTAGTGAATATAATAAAAAAAAGAAGCAGACCCACAGACTAGAGAACTAGTGGTTCCAGTTGGGGGGAGGGGTGGGCAATAACGGGTAGGGGAATGAGAGGTATAAACTATTGGGTGTAAGATAGGCTTAAGGATGTATTTATTGTACAACACAGGGAATATAGCCAATATTTTGTAGTACTGTAAATGGAAAGTAGCCTTTAAAAACTGTAAAATTTTTTTAATTTTTAAGGAATCCAAAATAAGTAAATAAAGTGGCTAGGCCAGAAACTGTCTTCTAAGAACAGTTTCCAAATAATGCAAGAGAGAATAGGGAAGCTTACATATATTTTCAGGACTCCATTGTTTTCTGAGCCACTATAGCCTGCTGGAATAAAAGAAAGTAGAGGAATGTAAGGAATAAAAAAAATTCCTGCCACCCTCCAGTTTTCATCATCTGAAATCAACTAGAGAAAAGCACGTGCTGGCCATGGGTGCTATTCAATGATACCTGCCAGAAAAACTTAGAGGTCTACTTTGCACTTATCTCTTTTAATAAATGTAATGCTAAGGATCCAAGAACAGAACTACATAATTTTTTAAAACAATTTTCAAACACAATTATTGGGCAAATCACATCTGTCAGTCTACTCTTGCAGCTAAAGGAAGTAAAGACCACATGGCGATTCAGTGACAAGCTCAGGGTCCTGGATCCCTGCTCCATGTCCTCAGTCTGGATGTGTGGGATAAAACCCAGTGTAGAAGTAAAGAAAAACACAAGAGTACCAATCAAATAGAAGTTTTATGCCAATTTGAGAGAAATTACTCACTTACTAGCTGTGTGACCTTGGACAAGGCACTTAACCTCTCTGTGCTTCATTTTTTTTTACAAATTATTGTGAGAACTAAATGAATTGTAACGTGCAAATCTCAGTCTGGCACACAGAAGTCTATAAAAGTAAAGTTAGCTTTATTATCACATCAGTGTTATTTTATAAAGACTTCCAGTTCAGTGTAAAACAGTCTAGTTTTATTTCCCAACCTCTGAGTCATATTTCAATTCCTTTTAATTAAAATGGAAAAGCCAATCAGAGATCTTATTTAGTACCTTGAAAAGATATGATATGACATACAGGCACTAGTACTGCTCATGTTTATAATCTCTGGAAGGCTGGACATGCTTATCTAAAAAGAACTGCCTAGATTTTAAAAGTTATCAACCAACCATGTGAATTTCTCCTTTCCATATTAGAATTATGAATCTAAATTTAGTAATAAGAGAAACTATTCAAATTTGTCCCTGCTATTATTATGTGCTCTGATTTGTGTGGGAAGATGTTCCGGAGCTCTTTACTTATCTTCCGCTAAAGACTATTCAAATTACAATGCTTATTCTTAGGTGTTAATTCTTGGCTCTGATAGAATTGTCCCCATGTCAGAAAACAAGAACTCTAACTTCAGAAAGTTGACAATATATCCAGAGTTAAATGGTCTCCTGAAGAACATGTCCAATTAAATCTAACCCCCCAGCTGCCACGACTCAGCTTTTATCAATTCTCCTAACATCTCCCTCCCCTCCCTTTCTTTGTATGTGCCCTAAAGAATGTGATGAAAAAGGAAAAATCCTGTCCCCTGATGTCACGCTGCGATGGGCAGTTTCAGGGTGACTGTGTGGTGAAGAGGAATTGCGACAAGAGGTTGAGAAACAGACTCATCTTGCCCGTCTGCATGGGTAACCAGGAAAACTTCAGCACTGCCCTGAATTTCCTGTCTTGACTCAGATACAAAGTTCTGTTGGTGGCCAGGAAGGAGGTGTGGGGAGCAATATGGTGATAGCTT